CCCAAATTGAGATATGCTGTGAATGTAACTGTACACTAGATTTTAAAGGAAATATGTTATTGAAATTAACTATAGCTGCCCTGGCCAGTGTGGTTCAGTTGGTTGGAGCATTGTCCCGTACACCAAAAGGTGGTGGGTTCAATTCCTGGTCAGGGCACATAACCAGGTTGCAGGTTTAACCCTTTGCGGTCGTTTGTCTACTCTCAGCCACCAAAGCTTTTTTACCGTTCTGGTTGTATGTCTGCTCTCAGCCACCACAGCAAGGAACCGTACGAATCTTAACTCTATTCATTCCTGTATCATAATTTCTCTGAATGCTCCTAAGTGTCTAAGCGACCTTGTCACGAACCAAAACATTGCCCCGACAAATCGGAGATATCGAAACTCAATATAAACAAACGCGGTCGTTCCACACTCGCCATGCAAAACACCGTGGCGAGTCAGTCGCCTTTTGAGAGTGAAGAAATCGACAAGCTTTGGAGATACATCGCAGAATTTCCAATAAAGCTTTACAAATTACGTTTAACTGTAATTAGGCATTCTCGCTTGTTAAGATATTTCAAAATAATACTCCAAAATGGCAAAAAGAAAGTTACCGAAAGAAGTGTACTGCGAATCTGAAAGTAACGATGAAGAGTTTTATTTTGGCACCTTGAATACTGACTCTGACGTAGAAAGTGATAACGTTTGTAGTGATTCTACTAGTAGTGACGTAGTTCCAAAAAAGAATTAATAAATCTTGTTTATCCTTCATAATCTTGCATGTTATGCATCACTGCTCTTTCAATGGAAATTAATTCCGACCAGTACGACACCCATGTCCAAATTTAATACAACCGCAAAGGGTTAATACCCAGTCAGTGGCATGCGGGAGGCAACTAATTTGTGTCTCTTTCTCTCAGTAGAGCTACTCTCAGCCTCTCCTGGGACCCTCTTGCTGGCCTCAGCCCTTTTCCCAGCAGAAATCCTCAGTTGAGGCTTCTTGGCCTCTCACTTCCCACTTCTATTTCTCTTAAAGGGGGATTAACAGTACTGACATCAAATTTTAGGCCATTTGTAATGAGATGTACTATTATTTTATGAATTGCCACAAAATGCAAAGATTAAAGAGTGGGCACTAATGCTTTGGGTTGAGCCTGGGCAGTGTGGCTCAGTGGTTGAATATTGACCTATAAACCAGGAGGTCACGGTTCAATTCCTGGTCAGATGCCTGGGTTACTGGCTCTATCCTCAATAGGGTGCATGCAGGAGGCAGTCGGTCAATGATTCTCTCTCATTGATGTTTGTCTCTTTCCCTCTCCCTTCCTCTCTGAAATCAATAAAAAAGTATTTAAAAAAATACTTTGGGTTAAAAGCAGCAGCCTGACCTCTGGGAAGGTAAACTGACAAATGGGAATAATCATAGGGCAAGGCAGGAGTATAAATACTTGGGATAGCCTTGAGAAAAATCTTGTCCTGCATTCTCCATCCTCACCAACCTGCAGGTTTTGCTAAGGATCCTGGGTTACAGGTGTGGGCCCCAGGTTATGAGTGGGAGTCTTCAGATTATAAGTGGAGGGATCCACACATTCACTCATGTCCAGCCAGCCCCCAGACCCACTAACCCCTGCAAAAAGCCCTTTTGCTTTCCCAGCATTGGTCACGGATGTCCCCAAAGACTCCCTTCACCACTGAAGACAGAGGAAGCCAACTATCCTGGTCACTCTCCCAGGCCGGCTGCCCCCATCCTGGATCTGCTCCCACTCAGTGGATCTCATGAATGTCGAGTTCCTGACTACAGGTCCAGCTCAGACCCTGCCCTGACAAGTGGGCCCCCTCAGGAGCCGGAGGGGTCTTTCCAAAGAGATCAGCGCCCTCAGGGAATCAGCTACGGCTGCATCTTAGGATGTGCTCCAGGTCTGTGTGGACATCTGTGGCCACCAAGGGGCAGGTGGCGGGACCATGGCCAAGGCTTCCTGGTTTCAGATCCACACATGGTCACTCAGAGCAGTGACATGTGGATTGTTACCAGTAGGGTGGGGATGTCCAGACACACAGTGACAGTCACCTGTTCTTCACTCTAGACCAGTGTCGCCAACCAGTGGTCCGCGGACCACTGGTAGTCCGTGAGGTCCAAAAGGTTGGCGACCGCTGCCCTAGACCATGCTGTACCCCCTCCTTCCTGCACTGTGGACATCTGGGCTGGGTCATCCACTGTGGGAGGCCTAGGCACTGGGATATGGAGCAGCCTCCCTGCCTTCCACTCCATGTAAAGAGCACCCCAGTCATGACAATCACAGATGTCCCCACACAGCCCAGGATCACCCATGGCTGGCAATCATTGGTTTAGCGACACACATGTATTTGTGGATGTTTAGCATTTTGCTTTAAAATATTTCTGGCCGAAACCGGTTTGGCTCAGTGGATAGAACGTCGGCCTGCGGACTGAAAGGTCCCAGGTTCGATTCCGGTCAAGGGCATGTACCTGGGTTGCGGGCACATCCCCAGTAGATGTGCAGGAGGCAGCTGATCGATGTTCCTCTCTCAACGATGTTTCTAACTATCTCTCTCCCTTCCTCTCTGTAAAAAATCAATAAAATATATTTAAAAAAAAATAATAAAATATTTCTGGAGTAATGTATTTGGGAGAAAGTGACCTGAGAGCCCCTAAGGTTTTTTAAGTTTTCATTTATTGATTTTAGAGAGGGAGAAACATTGCTTTGTTTCACATATTTATGCACTCACTGGTTTACTCTTGTATGTGCCCTGACCATGGATCAAACCTGCAACCTTGGTATATCAGGATGACACTCTAACCAAGTGAGCTTCAGGGCCAGGGGCACGTCATTTTTATTTTATTTTTAAAATTATTTTTATTGACTTTAGAGAGGAGAGGGAGAAACATCAATGTGAGAGAAGCACTGATTGGTTGTCCCCCCCCCCCCACCCCCGCTCCCCTTACACACCCCAACTGGGACTGAACATGCAACCTGCGCATGTGCCCTGACCAGGAATCGAACCAGACCTTTCAGTTCACGGGACAACACTCAACCAACTGAGCCACAGTGAGCTAGGGCCACATTATATTTTATTTCTAAATATATTTTTTATTGTTGATAATATTGAGTTTTTACCACAAAATCCTTCAACTCTTCTCCACATTTGAAAATGTTTAAAAATAATTCAAGGGAGGAATAGAGATGCAGCAAGATAGGCCAGGAGTCGATCGTGGTTGAATCAGGTACAGGATTCTGCTTTCTCTGTGACAAAATGTTAGGACCCCGACTGGGTGGCCCACTTGGTTGGAGTGGTAAGATTGTGGATTAGATCTTTGGTCAGGGAACACACAAGAATCAACCAATGAATGCATAAATGGGTGGAAGAGCAAAATAAATCTTTTTTTAAATCTTTACTGTTGAAAGTATGACATAGGTCCTCCTTCCTTTTCACTTCTCCCTTCCTCTAAAATCAATAAATGAAAAGGTCAGCCACTTCACACCTGAGGCTACTATCACGAAACAAAGACAGCAACCCTCCCCCCCACCACACACAGACAGTAACAAGTTCTGATGAAGATGTGGAGAAATTGGAAGCGTATGAACAACTGGTAGGGAAGGTGCTATGGAAAAAAGGATGGCTGTTCCTCAAAGAATTAAACATGGAATCACCACTTGACCCAACAATCTCACTTCTAAGTAGAGTGCAAAAAACTCAAAGATCTGGAAGAGATAAATGTACGTACACATACATAGCAGCACAGTTCCTAACAGTGTCCCCTATGGGTGACTCCAACCTTCCACTTGCTCAAGCCAAAACCCAGGTGTCATCTGGACTTTCCCATTCCATCATCACTGTCTGGACAGTCACCAACTGCTGAGGCATGCCACCTTTCCTGCTTCATCTCTGTCTCCCCCTCATAAAAGAAATGAATCCACCAGGTTGCTTTAGCAAGTGCGTTTAGGACCCTTCTGCATCATACCCTATGGAGGTGGTGACAGACACCCTGGTCTATGGGAAGGTTTAACCCAAGGTCCATGGCTCAAGCCTTTGGCTCCTGGGGTCATTGTGCAAGGCTTTCAGATGCCAGTCAGAAACATCATGTCCACCTGGTTTGGTTCAGTGAATAAAGCGTCTGCCTGCAGATTGAAAGGTTCCAGGTTCAATTCCCGTCAAGGGCACGTGTCTGAGTTGCGGGCTCAAACCCTAGAAGGGCACATGCAGGAGGCAGCCAATCAATGATTCTATTTCATCATTGATGTTTTTCTCTCTCCCCCTCTCTAAAATCAATAAAAAACTTTTTAAAAAAAGAATCATGTCCCAAAAGAGGGACAGATACAGGCAGCATGGTGAGGGTGAAAAGCACTGAGAAAAACTGGGCAGGTGTATAAATTGGAGGGGCGGGAAGGCTCAAGTCATTAGAAGGCTCTTGCTGTTCATGTGCTTGAAATAGGAACCTAGCCCAACTGGTGTGGCTCAGTGGTTGATGGTCAACCTATGAACCAGATCACTGTTGATCCCCAGTGTGGGCTCTGCAGGGGCAGCCGATCAATGGCTCTCTCCCCCTCTCTGAAATCAAGAGATATTTTTTAAAAATGTAGGCACCCACCCCTTGACTGGAGGACATGGGAGGGGCCTATGAAGGGGATGGGGACCTGAGGGGAGATGCTACATTCAGTCCAGCAATGGCCATCTCTATGGGTACTTAAGAGATGCCAGGTAGCCAAAACTGCAGATCTGGGTTGGGGGGATCAAGGGGGAGGGGCACAGGGAATATAGCATAGGACCCTGAACATTCCCAGACATGTCACAGGAGCCCCCGACCCACTCACTATCCATGTGGCTGTCACTGTGTTTACAGCAGGAAACCCAGGAACCCTCACTATCCAACATTCTGGCAAACACTACACAAGTCTTGCTGGACCTGAGCTTCCAAGTACTGTGCCCAGGCCCAACCCCCTCTGCTGGATGATTGACAAACTGCCCAGAGCCCCAGACACTTGGAAGAATGGGTTGCACTCTGATGAGGTAAGTCTGCTTTTTATTAACTACTTGAGAGGGATGAAGCGGGAGGAGTGGGTGGCTCCAATGCCAGGCCTGCCGTGCTTCACTGGCTTGTAGGTGATGGAGAACTCACCCAGGTAGTGGCCAATCATCTCAGGCTGTGGAAGGCAAAGAATGGACCTGTTAGGTGACCATGGGAGGACAGGCCCACACCCACCCAGGCAACGCAGTCCCACCACACACCTTGATTTCCACCTGATTGAAGGTCTTGCCATTGTATACGCCCACCATGCTGCCCACCATCTCCGGCAGGATGATCATGTCCCGCAGGTGTGTCTTCACCACCTCTGGCTTCTCCATGGGCGGCGCCTCCTTTTTGGCCTTGCGCAGGCGCTTCAGGAGCGAGTGCTGCTTCCTTCGCAGGCCCCGGTTTAGCCGCCGCCGCTGCCGGGCACTATACAGCTGCATCAACTGCTCACTGGGGGGCAGGCAGGACAGAATGTGTGGCCTAAGCCCTGGTGGATACCCCACCCTTCACCCACCAACACTAATCTTCCCTATAGTGCCCCAAAGCAATGTTCACAGCCCAAACAGTCAAGAGGAATCCTGCAAAATGGACAGCCTTCACAGCACTGTCTAGAAATGAAGAAACCGAAGGAGGACAGGCTGCTCAGGTGAGGTGGTGCAGCCAGAACTTTGTGGACTAAAGGCTGTGCTCCTAGAGGCCTCAGGAACCCAGGAGAGGAGCCGAGCCTGAGAAATTTCAGTCTGCTGTGTCCCCGGAAACTGGATCCTCCACGCCCAGACCCAGGCACACCTTCAGGAGACACAGGGTCCCCGGCTGTCAGCAAGCCTCCCTCGCTCCGGTCTGGAGACTCAGACCCAAACCCGCCCTGTCCCTGGGGGCAAGAGTTTTAAGAAGCACAAGTCAGACCACTTAGAATCTTCCAGCTTTAACCAAATCTTAGACCTGGGGTTGCAAACTCCCACCCATGAACCAAACCCGGGCCTGATGCCTGACCTTACAAGGCTTGTGAGCTACAGATATCTGCGTTATCAAGTGAATGAAAAGATGTCAAACAGGGCACGTTAACATTCTATTAATGTCAAACCTCAGAGCCGCAGCCCATCCGTCTATATACTATACCGACCTAAGGCCGCGTCAGCAAGTCAGGCTGCAGCTCCTAGCCCCCTGGGACCCCCTCCCGCCGCCATCCCTCCCGATGTGGCCGACACTTACTAAGACATGTCAAGCAGTTGATCGAGATCCACGCCGCGGTAGGTGAACTTGCGGAAGGTCCGCTTCTTCTTCTGCTCCACTTCCGCCTGCGCGGGCCCGAGACAAGGGTGAGCGCGAGCCCGAGACCCATCTCCCACCCTCACGGCTACAGCGGGTCACCAGGCGCAAAGGTCGTGCCGAAAAACGCGCGGCAGCCCCGGTAGAAAAGTCCGTGGGGACACACCACCTCGGGCCCGTCCGAGGGCGCGGGGGGCTACAGGGATTTGGCTGAGACAGGAGGGCATATACAGGCCTCTCCCGCCCCGGTGGTCACGACACCCACAAGGACTGCGCTCCCACATCCGGCGGCTCCGGAGGACTGGAGGAACGTGTCTCAGCTGCACGGCCTGACCCCGGCCTGCAAAGAGCAGCCAGAGCCAGGATGGCGCCGGATAGGCCCGCACAAACGCACAAAGTCCCAACACTTACCATCTTGGTTCCTCGGAAAGGCCAACCCACCCGGCGTCTGCGCAATTATTTCCAGTTCGCCCATGGCCCCGCCCCTTGACGCTGCGTGCGCAAGCGCCTCAGCTCCTGGAGGAGGATGTGCGCCCTCTGCTGTCCGGAGGGTAGAGCGCAGGCTATGAGGGCAAAAGGTTTTTTGTTTTTTTAAGAAAATGCTTTTAAAAATATATATTTTTTTATTGATTTCAGAGAGGAAAGGAGAGATAGAGAAACAACAATAATGAGAATCACTGATCGGTTGCCTCCTGCACGCCCACTACTGGGGATCGAGCCCAAAACCGGGTCATGTGCCGTTGACCGGAATGGAACCCAGAACCCTTCAGTCCCCAGGTCGATGCTCTATCCCAGTGATTCCCAAAGTGGGCGCTACCGCCCCCTGGTGGGCGCTGCACCGATCCAGGGGGGCGGTGATGGCCACAGGTGCATTTGTTTTAACTTTTTTTGTATTACCTTTCTATTCTGAGTTCAATAGTTTCATAATTTCAAACTTCAATGTTTCTAACTTACACCTTTCTTTACTATATTTTACGAAAAAGGTAGAAACATTAATACATATATCTTTCTGTTTAATTGCTATTAAAATTTTTAAAAAAATTAATTTCCAGGGGGCGCTGAGTAATATTTTTTCTGGAAAGGGGGCGGTAGGCCAAATAAGTTTGGGAACCACTGCTCTATCCACAGAGCCAAACCAGCTAGGGGAGCAAAGCTTTTGTTAAGGACTCGGAATCCACCCCCAGGTTGGGGCCAGCCGCCTAGAGTTTGGGCAACTTCCTGAAAGTCACTGCTCCTTTCAAGCCTCGTATTTGTGCTCTATAATCTCCATTAATGGAACCCAACTAACAAGTGTTAATGGAGCACCTGCTGTTTGCGGTCGGTGCTGTCTGGTTTCAGTCCAGAGTTCCATGATGGAGCTGATACTGTTGTAATTTGCTAGTTATTAATAACAGGAAAGGAGTAAAGGGAAGACCAAGTATTATAGGCATGTCATTTGGGCAGCTTCACCAGGAAACTAAAGCTTTATACTCCCCAGGGAGCCACCCGTCTATTCCCTGCAGATCTCTGGGAAGGGACTGGACATTGAGAATAGATGGATGCCCAGTAAAGTTGGGGTGACATCGGGAAGGTACCTGTCAGTTACACCTGGGAACAGGTCATTGGTCAGAATGGGCGTGGCCAATGCAAGGGCATGAAATTTGGGATACTTCATTTCCTAAACAAAGGAGTTCACTCTTGTGCTCTGTGCTCTTGGTTCCTCCTATGCTCTTGGGACTCTTATTGCTCCCGATGTGCTCTCCTGGAGCATGTCACCAACATGTGGACCCCAACAATGATTCATCAACTGCAACTAGCCTTATGCTGAACTGGATCTGACTGCAACATGGAGCAACAATTCTGGATGCTGGCTTTGCTTCTAGCTCTACTGAAACTCCAGCTATGCTTCTTCAATGACTGGAATGGGACTTTGGAAACCCCTGGATGTAATTCCACACAAATAAAAATCACTCATCCTCCTGTTGAAGTTTCAGAAAATTATTTTTCTTGAGATATCATAAGGACCCCACCTCCAGCATCCAGAAGGGAAGAGGACACGCCAATTTCTCTGATAACCGAGCTGTTGTTGCAGAATGGGAGGTAGTCCCCATAAGGGACACGTTAATACAGACCAGAGCCAGGAGGAAAATCCAGGAAGGGTGGGACAACGGCTTCTAACATGGTCAGAAAAAGGCATCCCTGATAAGAACCAGTCAGCCTTTAACTGACAAAATTATATAAGTAACAACTATATAACAATGCACTGCTAGGTTTGTAACATAAGTTGATATAATAAGTATAACAGTAATAGCAAAAAACGGAACAAGGGACTAGGCTAAATAGGAATATGTTGTTTTTTCATAGATTAGAGAGAGAAAAAGGGAGAAACACTGATTTGTTGTTCCACTCACTTATGCATTCATTGGTTGATTCCTGTGTATGCCCTGACTGGGGATTAAACCCACAACCTTGGCATATTGACACTCTTACCAACTGAGCTACTAGGCCAGGTAATTAGTGTCCATCTGAAGGTGATTCTTGTATATTAAGATGTATATGGTACCATAGGACCCAGCAATCTCACTTCAGGGTGTATACTCCGAAGAACTGAAAGCAATGATTTAAGCAGATTTGCACACCCATGTTTAGAACAGCATGATTCACAGTGGTCAAGAGGTGAAAACAACCCAAGTGTCCATGGAAAGATGAGTGGATAAGCAAAATGTGGTGCATCTACACACTGGAATACTATTCAGCCTTTATTTATTTATATTTGTTATATTCAGCCTTTAAAATGAAGGAAATTTACAGCTGCTACAATGTGGATGAACATTATGCTCAGTGAGATAAGCCAGACACAAAAGGACAAATATGTGTGATTCTACTCATAAGAGGTCATTAAAGGAGTCAGATTTATAGAAAAAGAAAGCAGCCCTGAAAAAAAATTCTGGCAGAGTAGGAGGATGCTGCATGGACATGCTCCCAGGAACAAGCTGGAAATATAACTGAAATACGGAAAGGCTTCCTGAATAATCAATGGAAAACTCACAGGAGAGAACCCTGTTACCCAAGGACTGAAGGTGGAGACCGAATAGAGACTGGTAGGAGGGGCGGAGGCGCTAAAGGACTGGTGGGGCACCCACAGATGGCAACTGAAGTCCTGGAAAGATATCTCAGCTGGGGGGGTGGGGGGAGGGTGCCACTGAGAACTCTGAGATCTAATCCCGAAGCTGGGCTCCCCAGCAGAGAGCACCAAACTGATGAGGGTACCCACATAACATCTAACTGTGAAAAGCAGTGGGGTGCTATCTACCAGGGAGTGGCAGATGAAAGTTCGGGCACCCTCTTGAAGGGCCAACACAAAAAAATTCCCTGTGGAGCCACCCACCTTGTGCTCTGGCAGAGGGAGGGTGAAGTGGACTGGAGCTGTGAGAGCAGAACCCAGGACTGGGGACTTGGGAGACAGAGCTCAGAAGGCAGACACCCCAAGTTTTCTGGGCTGAGTAATTCCCTCACACAGCGGTGGACATCTTTCCCACAAAGACCTCTGCCTTGCCTGGGGGGAAGACAGTCTGACACACCCTATTGGAAACACCTTGCCCTGAGGCCACTTAAGAGATTAAAAGTAACAATTAGCCTCCAGGCAGAAGCAACTGCCCCACCCTGTTGAAAAAACTCTCCTCACACCTGAGGGCCATTGCCTAGCTGGGAGCAATTCAAGTTGGAATCCTGTTAGTCCAGTGGTTCTCAACCTGTGGGTCGCGACCCCTTTGGGGGTGGAACAACCTTTTCACAGGGGTTGCCTAAGACCATCAGAAAACACATATATAATTACATATTGTTTTTGTGATTAATCACTATGCTTTAATTATGTTCAATTTATAACAATGAAAACACATCCTGCATATCAGATATTTACATTACGATTCATAACAGTAGCAAAATTACAGTTATGAAGTAGCAACAAAAATAATTTTATGGTTGGGGGTCACCACAACATGAGGAACTGTATTAAAGGGTTGCGGCATTAGGAAGGTTGAGAACCACTGTGTTAGTCTGTGGACAGAGGTGGTCTCTGGAGGCTTTGAGTCTTTGCCTGATCCAATTAGTCAGAAACAGCCTTTAATACTGTCCTGCACTAGAGATTGAGAGGTATAGAGCAGCGGTTGCTAACTGGTGGTCCGGGACCACTGCTGGTCCATGAGGTATGAAAGGTTGGCAACTGCTGGTATAGAGGATCTACGTAAAACACAGCCACCAACCCAAACAGACAACCAAAATGAGGAAACAAAGAAACAACCTCCAAATGAAAGAACTAGTGAATTCTCCAGAAGAGGTAAATTAAGCAGAGGTAAGAAATTTATCTGAAACAGAGTTCAGAGTAATGATGTTAAAAATGCTCAACAGTATGAAAAAAGATATAGTAACTATGAAAAAAGAACAGTCTGTGATAAGGAATGACATAACACAAATAAAGAACACATTGGAAGGAATACACAGCAGATTAGGGGAAGCTGAGGATTGAATCTGTGACTTAGAAGACAGAGTTGAAAATATCACTCAATTAGAGCACCAAAAAGAAAAAACAATTAAAAAACAGGAGGACAGCTTAAGGGAGCTGTGGGACAATGTGAAACGTAACAATATTAGAACAGTAGGTGTGCCAGATGAGGCAGAAAGGGAGAAAGGAATAGAGAAGGTGTTTGAAGAAATAATGGTAGAAAACTTCCCTAACCTGGAAAAGGAAAAAAGTCACACAAGTTCAGAAGGCACAGAGAACCCCAAACAAGAAGAACCCAAACAGACCCATGCCCAGACACATCATAATTAAAATGTCAAAAATTAAAGACAGCCGTAACTGGTTTGGCTCAGTGGATAGAACGTTGGCCTGCGGATTGAGGGGTCCCAGGTTTGATTCCGGTCAAGGGCATGTACCTTGGTTGCGGGCACATCCCCAGTAGGGGGTGTGCAGGAGGCAGCTGATCAATGTTTCTCTCTCATTGATGTTTCTAACTCTCTATCTCTCTCCCTTCCTCTCTGTAAAAAGTCAATAAAATATATATTTAAAAAAAAATTAAAGACAAAGAGAGAATCTTTTTTTTTTTTTAAATATACTTTGATATTTTAGAGAGGAAGGGAGAGGAATAGAGAGCTAGAAACATCGATGAGAGAGAAACATTGATCAGCTGCCTCCTGCACGCCCCCCACTGGGGATGTGCCCGCAACCAAGGCACATGCCCTTGACCGGAATCGAACCCGGGACCTTTCAGTCTGAGGGTTGATGCTCTATTCACTGAGCCAAACTGGTTAGGGCAAAGAGAGAATCTTAAAGGCAGCAAGAGAAAAGAAAACTGTTACATACGAAGGAGTTCCCATAAGGCTGACACCTGATTTCTCATCAGAAACTCTACAGGCCAGAAGGGAATGGCATGAAGTACTCAAGGTAATGGAAAGCAAGGATATGAGACCAAGATTACTATATCCAGCAAAGCTATCATTCAAAATAGATGGTCAAATAAAGAACTTCCCAGACAAAAAAAAGGCTAAAAGAGTTAAT